TTTTTTTAAAAGCTCTTCGCATTATAAAATAATATAAAACCCATTACCAAATTTATACAAGAAAACTCCAAAAATTTTCTTTTTTGAACTTGGTCTTGATATTGGTGACGATACAGAGGCTGTGGAAGCTGAGGAAACAATTAATCCTATTGATGAAGCTTCGGTTGAAACTTCTATGGAAGAAGTAGATTAAATTATAAAAAGTCGTCATGATTTAAATTCATAAAAAAAAAAAAACACGATAATGACGGACTTTATATAATCTATTTATCAATGTGTTAATTTATTTTCTTCAAATGTTTAATCTTCTTATCTACGGCGTGTTAAATAAATAAATATATATATTAGAGTTTAATTTTTATATTATAAATATAATAAAAATTTTGGTTAAAATTCAAGTCGTTATAAAAACAAATTTATTTTATTTAATAATTTATTTAATAAAATTAAAAATTCAAGTCGTTATAAAAACAAATTTATTTTATTTAATAATTTATTTAATAAATAAATAATAAATATAAATAATAATATTTTTTTTTAAGGAATATTCTATATAGACCTTTTTCATTTGTTTCATGATCATTTCGTGATTTCTTTCTTCACCTGCCTGACCTCTTCATTTGTTTCATAATCATTTCGTGATTTCTTTCTTCACCTGCCTGACCTCTTGATTTTTTTATCATTTTCACTTGTATCTTCATCATTTTCATATCTATCAAACACTTCTTTTAAATTTATTTTCTTATTAGAATTAATAGTATATACATTACCTGGACAAAAGTCGGGCGCATTTTTAATCAAAAATTGCACAAAAATGTATTTAACAATAATTTAAATAAAGGTTCCGTTTTGCAACTTAGGTTCACCAAATTATATATGAAAAAAATTCACATATTTATCATTTTTATTAAATTAATATTAAAAAAACAAAATCTCGACCATTTATTCTCTCTTCCAAAAAAAAATGATTGAAAACACGTAATGATCATACCCGAAAATTTAAGGTTAATATTTCGAGTTTAAAAGTTTTCAAAGGAAATTTATTAAAAATGATGTTTGTTTATAAAAAAAATATTAAAAACAAGAAAGATACTTATTGAAACTTTTCAGGCATGGTTATTAAATACGTTTTTGTTCAAT